TTGCTCCACTAGCCCCTTTGCAGTGTATATTTGCCCTGACTCCCTCCTGCCTCTGGCTCTGGGCTGGTTTGTGGCTGGGTGTCTTTTGGAAAAGCTGAGGGAATCAGCGGGAATAAAAAGCAGCATGTGTGCATACATGGGCAGAGAAACGTGCCAGAGAAACCATTCTTGACAGAGCACACAAGAACTCTTAGCACACAAACACCTCTTAGGTGCATCCTAATAGGGCTGAAAAACTGGTTTGGAAGAACTGGCTGCATTTCCTTAACCTCAGCACAGTGGCTCCGAAGCTCTGCCCTTTAGTCAGGATTCTCAGCCCATTTCTAAGCCTTTCGGGCTGCAGAGTGGGTGCATGGTTCTCTCCAACTTCCTGCTCATTTTGGAGGACTCCCTGCGACAAAGACCATAGCATTTCTCAAGTAAGGGGAGTGCAAAGGCCTGTGAACCTAGAGGGGAATATATACTTAAATACACTGTAAAAAGAGATAGGTATGCATACATGGAAATGCCACCTCACTATTGCATTCTCTGTTGCCTCTTCCCACACCTTTACATTTGGATGTTGCCATCTTTTTTGGTCTGTGCTTTAACGTGGTCTGCTATGTGTGTTCCACTCTCTGAATAACCAGAGGCGCCTCCAGCCAGAGGTCTGGATTTTCAGTGGCACTGCAGGCACCACAAATGCCCATCATCTCCTCCACAAATAATTCAGACTTTTATGCCCACTGAGTTTCACTTACCTTTCAGTGGCAGACAGGAAAGAGGGTGTATGACCTGTAGCTCTTCTTGAGGAATGCTATTTGAATCTCCTGTGCATTATTTTCACAAGACAGATAACTCTGGAGTTCATTAAATGCATATGCATTAGAGCACATATAGGAGCTTCCATAAAGCACTTTGCAGCAAAAATACTATTCAAAGGGTAGTGCTAAAAAAGGCCTAAGTAACTTCATAGCAAGGCTACTGCTTCAGGCTCACGTTTTCTGGCATTTATTATTCTTTTAATTCCTGGCCACGTCTCTATTATTTTGGGCTTTTGTTTTGGTGTGTGGCATGTGAAGGAGGAAACCTTGCTCTGGAATGCAGTTTCTGCTGTGCAGGTGAGCACGGCAGCAGCTTGCTGTGTGTCCCGCGCGAGCCTGGAGGTGTCCCCAGCGCTGCTGTGCTGTGTAACGCTGCCACCATCGGGTGGCTGCAGCTTGGGGAGTCGCTCTGGGGAAGGGAAGGCTGTGGCCAGGTAGCCCGTAGCACCTACAGGCCTCCTTCCCAGGCGTTTCCTGCAGTTCAAGGTGAGGCAGGACGCAGGGC